AAACAACCCCAAACCACCCCAAAACCACCTTCTCCTCCTTCACCTATGGGATACAGGGTCAGAGCCCCCCAAAAAACCAAAACAGGACAAAAACAACCCAAAACCCCCCAAAACCACCTTGTCCTGCTTCTTCTAGGGGATACAGGGTAAGAGGCCCAAAACAGACCCAAAACAGGCCAAAACCAGGCCAAAACACCCAAAGCAAACCCCAAAACACCCCCAAACCACCCCAAAACCACCTTGTCCTGCTTCTCCAATGGCATACAGGGTCAGAGCCACAAAACAGGAAAAAACAGGAGAAAAGCAGGCCAAAACACACCAAACAACCCCCAAAATGGGCCAAAACCACCCCAAAATCACCTTGTCCTGTTTCTCCTGTGGGACACAAGTTCAGAACCCCAAAACAGGCTCAAAAAAGCACAAAAACAACCAAAAACTATTCAAAACCACCCCCAAAACAACCCCAAACCACCCTAAACCCACCAAAAAAACACCTTGTCCTGCTTCTCCTGTGGGACACAGGCTCAGAGCCCCAAAACACGCCAAAAAGAGAAAAAACCACATCAAAACACACAAAACCACCCCTAAAACAGCCCAAGCCAACCCCGAAGCACCGGCTCGTGCTGCAGCTCTGCCTCATTCCAGAGCCTTGGATCATCTGGGAGCACGGGATCCCATTGGCATCACAGCTCCTGGTGCTTGGGAGCAGATCCTATGGGATCTGCATCCAGATCCGGATGCTCCACACATGGACACGGATCCAGGTCCGGATCCGATTGTAGGGGGGAGCGCGGACACGGAATTCCATGGGGCTGGAAGAGCAGAACTGGGCTCCCGGACGGGGGGCTCTGGGGTGGGGGGGAGAGACACCATTGCCCACCATTGTCTCCATTGACCCTATTGGCCCCCATTACCCCCTTTGCCCTCCCCATTACCCCCATTGCCCATTACCCCCAATGCCCCCATTACCCCCATTGCCCCCCATTGCCCATGTTACCCCATTGCCCCCCCATTACCCCCCATTACCCATTACCCCCATTGCCACTCGTTACCCCCATTCCCAACTCACTTCCCACTGCTCCGCACTGGATCCAAAGATGGGGCTGGGGATGCCCCGGTCCCGCCGCACATCCGGTTGCGGCTCCCATTGAGGCTCCAGGGGCCGCCGGTTCGAGCCCCGAGCTCCCGGGTTCGGGTCCCGAGCTCCCGGGCTCGAGCCCCGGTGCCCCCGGAGCAGCGGCGAGAGCCGGGGGGGGAAGCCCCGGTGCCCCCCCCCCCCCACGGAGCAGCGCCCCCAGCACCGAGCGGCGCCGCTCCCGTAGCAGCACCGGGGCCCGGTGCAACAGCGCCCCCAAGCGGGCGGCCAGGACCCGCGCTATGGGGTGTTGGGGGGCGGGCACTGGGACCCCCAAGTTATGGGGCGCCCCCTTTGTGCCCCCCAAGTTATGGGGCGGGGTCTGGGGGTCCCCGTTTGTGCCCTCCCCCAAGTTATGGGGCACCCCCTTTGTGGCCCCCAAGGTATGGGGCAGGCTCTGGAAGTCCCCTATGGAGCCCCCCAAGTTATGGGGCACCCCCTCTGTGCCCCTCTCAAAGTTATGGGGCACCCCTATAGTGCGGGGGTGCCGAGGCCCCTCCCCACGTGACCCGAGGTGACCTGGAGGGCGAAGAGCCCGCGGGGGTGGGGCAGGAGGCGGTGCCGGGTGATGACCACGTGACGCGGAGGGGGGAGGGGGCTGCGGGGGGGGGCGCGCAGGGGCCAGGATCGGGCCCGGGCCCCTCCCCCTCCCCCCCCGCGCCCGCCCCAGTTTGGTCCCGTCCGGTTCCCGCCAATTTCGCCCATCATGGCGGAGCTGGAGCTCCCCTCCGATCCCGACCTGCGCAGGTTGGAGCCCGCGGGACCCCCCAGTGGGGGCTTTTGGGGTCCTGGGGGGGTTGGGGTGCTCCTGACCCCCTCTCTTTGTCTCCCCCCACCTCCAGGCTGTGCACGGGGCCCTGTGCCCCCATCCGGGAGTACATCATGGGCCACGTGCGGCACCGCGGTGAGGGGGGCACCCCAACATCTGGGGGGGAGGAACTGCAACATCTGGAGGGACCCCAAACCTCGGATCGGTCCCTAAAATACATGGGGGGGGGGGGGGGGTGTTCCTGTAGGAATGTGAAGAAGATCAAAGGGAACCTGCTGTGGTATCCGCTGCACCCCAAAGGAGGGGGGGACACCCAAGCTCATTGGGGAGCCTCCAAAACCCCTCAGGACCCCCCCAAACCCCTTTGCTTGTTAGGACCCCCCCAAAATTCCATTGGGATCCCAACAACCCCCCAGCACCCCCCAATTCGCCCTTGTGGCCCCCCCCCCCAACCCCTTTTCTTCACCCAGATCCATGCAGAGGAGCCCAAATTCCTTTAGGACCCCTCCAAATCCCATTGGGATCCCCAGGAACCCCCAGTTCCCTCCCATGATCCTCCCCGACCCCCCCCTAACCCTTCCTTTAACCCCCCCCAGGTTTCCTCCTTAACTGGGGGCTCAGGTACCAGCACCTCAAGGAGATTCAGGTTTGGGGGGCGGGGTGGGGAGCGTTAGAGGGTTTTGGGGGGGCTCTGTGGGGTTTTGGGGTATCCCACAGGGACCAAAACACACCCCTGCACCCCAAAACCATCCCCCCTGCATCCGAAAACACCCCCTCTGCACTCCAAAACCATCCCCCCTGCACCTCAAAACAACCCCCTGCATCCCAAAACGCCACCCCCGCACCCCAAAACCATGCCCCCTGCACCCTAAAACCACCCCCATGCATCCCAGAAGCCCCACGGCACCCCAAAACCGCCCCCCTGCACCCCAAAACAGCCCCCTGCACCCCAAATCTACCCCCACTGCACCCCAAAACAACCCCCTGCACCCCAAAAGCACCCACTGTGCACCCCAAAACAACCCCTCTGCACCCCAAAACCACCCTATGGATTCCCCCATGCACCCAAAACCCTCTCAAGGACCCCCCCGAATCCATCCTGCAGCCTGGTTTCCCCCCTTGCAACCCAAAACTGCCCTGGGCCCTCCCCCATGATCTTTTCCTCCCCACTCCTGAACCCCAGAACCCTTTAGGGACCCCCTCTGTACTTTAAACCCCCCTGGGTTTTCTTCTGAAGTGGGTGCTGGGCTCATAGGGGTCCTTAAAGCCCCCCCCCACTCTCCCTAAACCCAGTACTGACACCTTTCGGGGTGCCCCCCCCCAACCTCCATGGTCCCTGCAGCCCTTTTGGGGTCCCCAAAATGGGATCTGGACCCCTTTGGGCCCCCCAGACTCCCCTCAACGTTTGGCTTTGGTGCCCCCCTTGCCACCAGGTTGATGCTGGAGGCCACGGGGCTCTCAGGGGCTCGGGGGGCCCAGATCCAGCAGGGCCCAGAGCTCCTGGGCAGCCCCATGGACTCCCCAGAAACTGCCCTGGGGCCACTGAGGAGGCAGCTGCAGGAGGGGAAGCAGCGGCTGGTGGGTGCCAACGGGGGAATGTGGGGATTTGGGGGGGTCCTGATGGGCTTGGGGGGGTCTGGGAAGTGGAATTTGATGGTTATGGGGAGGGGTTGGGGTCCCTAAAGGGCCCCAGCGCCGCTTTTTGGGAGGGATGAGGGATATGTGGGGGTCCTGGAGGGGATTTTGGGTCTATAGGGGATGACATGGGGGAGTTTGGGGCTTTAGGGGGAATTTTGGGGGTGCTGGGAGGGGGATCTGGGGGTTATGGATGGGTTTGGGGTTAAGGGAGAGGCTTGTGGGGAAATATGGGGCGATATTTAAGGTGTTTGGGGGTCTTGGGGGGTATTTGGGTCCCTCCCATGGCTTTGGGGTCCCTCATTTCCTTGTGTCCCCCCCTCCATCCCTTCCAGTCCCGTCGCTGGATCCAGCTCCGGGCTCTGGCCGCATCCAATGGGAAGCTCCAGGCGCAGCTGCGCCCCCTGCAGGCCCAGGTGAGCAAAGACGGGGAGATCGAGGGAGGGGCGGGGGGGGCGTGTCCTCACCCCTTTGGCCACGCCCCTTTCAGACCCTAGGGAGAAGGGCGGGGGCTGCTGGAAGCGCTGAGCATGCTGGACTAAAAGGACGCAAATTAAGTAGGCCCTACATTAATAACATGTAAATAAGGAAGTAACGTGTAAATAAGGTCAGCCCTACATGAGGTGCGTGTGGATAAAGCAGGTCCTACGCTAATTGCATGTAAATAAGGGGGGGGTTAATGATGGTGGGATGAGAAATGGGGAGGGATGGAGGGGGAGGGGGAGAAATGGCAGGAATGTGGGGAATAGGGGTGGGAAAAAGGGGGAGGGGGAATGGGGGGCATAAGGGGGGGAGGGGAGAAAATGGGGATGCGGTGGGGGAGGGGACAAATGAGGGGGAGGGGCGAGGAAAGGCCCCATATTCAGCCCCATGGGCCGTAGCCTGGCAACGCGCAGGAAGCGGTACGCGGAGACCCCGTTGCTAGGCAACAGAGGCAACAAACCCGGAAGTGCGGAGAGCATCGCGGAACGGGGATGGGGAAAGGCCGAAACACGTGGGGGAGAGGGGGCCTCGATTTCCTGTGAAATCTTTATTTATTGGTTAAGTTTCCTTTTTATACATTCTTAAGGTGACCCCTCCCCTCTCCCCTCCCCCCCCCCCCCCCCCCCCCCCCGCTATTTCCATCGGTGTCACTAAGGCTTCGGATAGACCCCCCCCCCCCATCCCCCCCTTTACCCTCCCCTCTCCCATCCGGGGTATAAAGAGGGGGGGAGGTGCCACCCCCCCACACCCCCGGGTGGGGGATGGGAGGTTGTGTCCATTGGGTACCCTCCCCCAGCCCCTCGTTTTGGGGTGCTGGGGGGGAGGTGAGGCCCATCTCCCCCCTCCCCCACAGACAGCTCATCAGCAGGCACTTAATGATCCCCCCCCCCCTTCCCCACCCCCGTTTTTGGTTACATGAAGCCCCGAGGGAGGGGAGGGCTCTCCTCTGCACCGGTTACTGCAGGGCTCTCCCTCCTTAAAGAGCCCACGCTCACCGTGGGGGCCCCGTCACAATGGGCAAATCCAGAGCGACCGCCACGGCTTTGGGATGGCGGCAGCATCGTGCCCATGGCCACTGGGCACCCAGGGGTGCTCCGGGAGTGGCTGCGGGGGGACCAGCCTCTGCCCAGCCGGCTCGGGGAGGTCCCTCACGGGCTGCTCTTCCTCAGTGCCTTTGGTCCGGAGGTGGAGCATGCGAGGGGTCACAGCTCAACGTGGGCCATGGAACAGGGCGTCACGGCCACCTCCGAGGAGTGGAGAGGGACCGACGTTGGCACAGCAGAGAATCATGGAATCCCAGAGTGGGCTGGAAGGGACCTTAAAGCTCACCCAGCTCCAACCCCCAGAGGCACGGGCAGGGACACCTTCCACTAGAGCAGCTTGCTCCACGGCCCTGTGTCTCTGTGCACTCCCAGGGCATCCTGGGGATACCCCCCGAGAATGCCTGCAGCACCTCCAGAGCTCCCCATGGACCCAGTCAGAGCTCCTGCATCACAATGACCTTGGGGACATGGAGACCACAGGGGTGGCTGATTCTGGAACTCCCCGTGTTCAGGTGTGTGAGGTCACAGAACCCCACAGAACCCTCCAGCAGAGGCGCCGGGAGACGACAGCTGCCCCACGGAACACAAGCTACCGGTGGAGGAGGCAAGAGCAGCTCCTCTGGTGGTTCCCGTCTTGGTGTCTCGGAGCCGGTGCCGCCTGTGGACACAGGAGCGTGGAAGGAGGTGGGTGGCGATGGCGATCTTGGGGTGCTGTAGGAGTTGCCAGAACACCTCAAGAGACTTCCCCAGAGTGGCTGCTTTGGACTCGGTGTGTGAGTTGGGCTGGCTGAGCCGGCAGCGGAGCGCTGCGGCTGCCGAGGGATGATCCTGGGATCTGCCCTCATTTCTTGTGGGGAGAGCAAGGGCCTGTGGGGATGGGCCAAGGGGGAACGATTTTAACGTGACCGAGAGGGGAGATTGAGATGAGATCTTAGAAGTTGTTCCCTGTGAGGGTGGTGGGACAGTGGCACAGGGTGCCCAGAGAAGCTGTGGCTGCCCCATGGCTGGCAGTGTTCAAGACAGAGCTGAAAATGCCCTGACTCTTTCCTTGGTACATGATTGAGTTGCAGGTTTTATTCCATTTTTGGCTAAATCTGAACTATTTATGGAAGTTTCTAGCCTATTTTAAGCTTTTCCTAGCTATTTCTTAACTGGTTCAGGCTGTTTCGAACCCTTTTTTCCCCAATTCTAACACTTTTTGAACCATTTTGACCTTTTCCAAACGTTTTTTGTCCATTTCTTACTAATTTCTTGCCATTTCTAACCCATTTTTGCTCTTTCCTGACTCGGTTTGAGCCATTTTTGGCCATTCCTAACCCAGTGTTGCCAATTTCTAACCCATTTTAAGTCTGGCTATTTCTAAAAGAATTATGGCCATTTGTATCCTAATTTTGGTCATTTCTTACCAGTTTTAAGCTTTTTTTGGCTATTCCTAGTCCATTCTTGCCTGCTTGTCCCCTGTTTGAAGCATTTTTTACCACTTCTAAACAATTGATGACCATTTCTATCTTAGTTTTGCCCATGTCTTACCAGTTTTAAGCCATTTTTGGCAATTCCTAAAGAATTCATGGCCATTTCTAGCCTGGTTTCAGCTTTTCTTAGCTATTTCTTAACTGGCTTGAGCTATTTCTTGGCCCAATTCTAACTCTTTTTAAGCCATTATGGCCATTTCCAAACTGTTCTTGTCCTGTACTTACCAATTCTTTCTACCCCTTTTTTTGGCCTTCCCTAACTTGGTTTAACCCATTTTTGGACCTTTCTGACCCACTTTAACTTCTTTTTGGCTATTTCTAAACAATGGGTGGTCATTCTCACCTTATTTTTGCCCATTTCCTTCCTGGTTTATGCCATTTTAATGCTAAATGCTTCACTTTTTTATGGGCATTTCTAGCCTGGTTTAAGCTTTTCTCACCAATTTCTAAACTGGCTTGAGCTATTTCTAACCCTTTTTTTGCACAATACTGACTCTTTAACGTCATTTTGGACATTCCCAAACCATTTCTGTGCAGTTCTTAGCAATTTTTTTTCTGTTCCTAACACAGCTTTTGCCCTTTCCTGACTTGGTTTAAACCATTTTGGCTTTTTCTAACCCATTTTAAGTCTTTTTCGGCTATTTCTAAACAAGTGCTGGTCATTCTTATCTTATTTTTGCCCATTTCTTGCCGGTTTTAAGCCATTTTATGGCAATTTCTGAACTATTTATGGAAGTTTCTAGCCTGGTTTAAGCTTTTCTTAGCTATTTCTAAACTGGCTTGAGCTATATCTAACCCGTTTTTGCGCAATACTGACTCTTTTTAAGTAATTTTGGCCATTCCCAAACCCTTTCTGTCCAGTTCTTACCAATTTTTTTTCTGTTCCTAACACAGCTTTTGCCCTTTCCTGACTTGGTTTAAACCATTTTTGGCCCTGTCTTACCATTTTAAGGCTTTTTTGTCTATTTCTAAGCAATTGCTGGTCATTCTTATCTGATTTTTGCCCATTTCTTGCCTGTTTTAAGCCATTTTATGGCAATTTCTGAACTATTCTAAACTATACTGAACTGAATATTCTAAACTGGCTTGAGCTATATCTAACACCTTTTTTGCACAATACTGACTCTTTTTAAGCCATTTTGGCCATTTTCAATCCATTTTTCAACATTTCTTACCAATTTATTTCTATTCTAACCTGTTTTGGCCCTTTCCTGACTTGGTTTAAACCATTTTTGGTACTTTATAACCCATTTCAAATCTTTTTTTGGCTATTTCTAAGTAATTGCTGGTCATTCTTATTTTTGGCCATTTCTTGCAGGTTTTATTCTTTTTTTGGCTAAATCTGAACTATTTATGGAAGTTTCTAGCCTGGTTTAAGCTTTTCCTAGCTATTTCTAAACTGGCTTGAGCTATTTCTAACCCTCTTTTTGCACAATACTGCCTCTTTTTAAGCCGTTTTGGCCATTCCCAAACCCTTTCTGTCCAGTTTTTACCAATTTCTTTCTATTTCTAACCTGGTTTTGCCCTTTCCTGACTTGGTTTAAACCATTTTTGGTTCTTTATAACCCATTTAAAATCTTTTTTTTTGCTATTTTTAAGCAATTGCTGCTCATTCTTGTCGTATTTTTGGCCATTTCTTGCAGGTTTTATTCCATTTTTGGCAATTTCTGAACGATTATGGAAGTTTCTAGCCTGGTTTAAGCTTTTCTTACCTATATCTACGCTGGCTTGAGCTATATGTAACCCTTTTTTTACGCAATACTGACTCTTTTTAAGCCCTTTTGGCCATTCCCAAAACCTTTCTGTCCAGGTCTTGCCAATGTCTTTCTATTTCTAACCTGGTTTTGCCCTTTCCTCCCTTGGTTTAAACCATTTTTGGCCCTTTCTAACCCATTTTAAGTCTTTTTTGGCTATTTCTAAACAATTGCTGGTCATTCTTATCTTATTTTTGCCAATTTCTTACCAGTTTTATGGCAATTTTGACTAAGTCTGAACAGTTTCTTGCCATGTCTAGTTTGGTTTACGCTTTTCTTAGCTATTTCTGTACTGGTTTAGCCTATTTCTAACCCTTTTTTGCCTAATTCTATCTCTATTTTAGTCATTTTGCCCATTTCCAAACCATTTTTGTCCTGTTCTTACCAAATGATTTCTGTTTCTAAACCATTTTTTCCCTTTCTTAACTTGGTTTAAACCATTTTTGGCTCTTTCTGACCCTTTTAAGGGCTTTTTTGGCTATTTCTAAGCAATTGCTGGTCATTCTTCTCTTATTTTTGCCCATTTCTTGCAGGTTTTATTCCATTTTTGGCAATTTCTGAACTATTTATGGAAGTTTCTAGCCTGGTTTAAGCTTTTCTTACTTATTTCTAAACTGGCTTGAGCTATATCTAACCTGTTTTTGCGCAATACTGACTCTTTTTAAGTCATTTTGGCCATTCCCAAACCATTTCTGTCCTGTTCTTACCAATTTTTTTTCTTTTCCTAACACAGCGTTTGCCCTTTCCTTACTTGGTTTAACCCATTTTTGGCCCTTTCTAACCCATTCTAAATCTTTTTTTGCTATTTCTAAACAATTGCTGGTCATTCTCATTTTTGCCTATTTCTTAATAATTTTATGCATTGTTGACTAAGTCTGCACTGTTTCTTGCCATTTCCAGCCTGGTTTAACCTTTTCCTACCTATTTCTAAACTGGCTTGAGCTATTTCTAACCCTTTTTTGCCGAATTCTAACTCTTCTTAAGTCATTTTGGCCATTTCCAAACCATTTTTGTCCTGTTTTTACCAATTGATTTCTGTTTCTAAACCATTTTTGCCCTTTTCTAACCTGGTTTAAACCATTTTTGGCTCTTTCTGACCCTTTTAAGGTTTTTTTGGCTAATTCTAAACAATTGCTGGTCATTCTTACCTTATTTTTGCTCATTTTTTCCTGCAGATTTTATTCCATTTTTGGCTAAATGTGAACGATTTATGAAAGTTTCTAGTCTGGTTTAAGCTTTTCTTACCTATTTCTAAACTGGCTTGAGCTATTTCTAACACTTTTTTGGGAAATACTGATTCTTTTTAAGCCATTTTGGCCATTTTCCAACCGTTTCTGAACATTTCTTACCAATTTATTTCTATTTCTAACCTGTTTTGGCCCTTTCCTGACTTGGTTTAACCCATTTTTGCTTCTTTATAACCCATTTTAAATCTTTTTTTTTTGGCTATTTCTAAGCAATTGCTGGTCATTCTTATCTTATTTTTCCTCATTTCTTGCAGGTTTTATTCCATTTTCGGCTAAATCTGAACTATTTATGGAAGTTTCTAGCCTGGTTTAAGCTTTTCTTACCTATTTCTAAACTGGCTTGAGCTATTTTTAACCCTTCTTTTGCGCAATACTAACTCTTTTTAAGGCATTTTGGCCATTTCCAAACCCTTTCTGTCCAGTCCTTACCAATTTCTTTCTATTTCTAACCTGGTTTTGCCCTTTCCTGACTTGGTTTAAACAATTTTTGGCCCTTTCTAACTCCTTTTAATTCTTTTTTGGCTATTTCTAAACAATTGCTGGACATTCTTATCTATTTTTGCCAATTTCTTACCAGTTTTATGCCATTTTTTACTAAGTCTGAACAGTTTCTTGCCATTTCTAGTTTGGTTTAAGCTTTTCGTAGCTATTTCTAAACTGGTTTAGACTAGTTCTAACCCTTTTTTGCCATTTGTGAAAAGAAAATATGCTCATTTGATTTTGGGTGG